GTGGGGGGTGGGGTTGTTGTTTGGGGGGAAGAAGGGGGAGGGGGCAATACCGAGAGAGTCAGTGGTTTCCATGGTGATGGAGCCGAAAGTGCAGGAAATTTAAAGGCTTGGACCCTGCGAGACAGACAAACCGGTGCCAACGTGCGCGGACGCCGCCGCCGCCGCCGCCGCTGGAGTCCGCCGGGCAGAGCCGGCCGCGGAGCCCGGAGCAGGCGGAGGGAAGTGCCCCTAGGACCGGCTGGGCCAGCGGCGCTGCACACGGCGGCAGGACGAGGAGCAGCGAGGAGAGGAGGAGGGGAGAGCGGCTCGTCCACGCGCCCTGCGCCGCCGCCGGCCGGGAAGGCAGGAGCAGCCGGCGCCTCCCGCGCCCGCGGCCGCCCCGGAGTGATTTCGGATGCCCCGCCGCGGCAGCCTTCCCGGATAGACCCCGGAGAGGAGTCGCCGCCAACTTGTGTGCCTTTTTTCCGCCCGGGCGGGAGCCGGCTCTGCGCGAAGGGCTCTCCCGGCGACTCATGCTGCCGGCCCTGCGCCTGCCCAGCCTCGGGTGAGCCGCCTCGGGAGACGGGGGAGCGCCGCGGCGCCGGGGCTCGGCGTGCTCTCCTCGGGGACGCAGGACGAAGCGGCAGCCCCGGGCGCGCGCCGGAGGCATGGAGCGCTGCCCCAGCCTGGGGGTCACCCTCTACGCCCTGGTGGTGGTCCTGGGGCTGCGGGCGGCACCGGCCGGCGGCCAGCACTATCTCCACATCCGCCCGGCGCCCAGCGACAACCTGCCCCTGGTGGACCTCATCGAGCACCCGGACCCTATCTTTGACCCCAAAGAGAAGGATCTGAACGAGACGCTGCTGCGCTCGCTGCTCGGGGGCCACTACGACCCGGGCTTCATGGCCACCTCGCCCCCCGAGGACCGGCCCGGGGGGGGCGGGGGGGCAGCCGGGGGCGCCGAGGACCTGGCGGAGCTGGACCAGCTGCTGCGGCAGCGGCCGTCGGGGGCCATGCCGAGCGAGATCAAAGGGCTGGAGTTCTCCGAGGGCTTGGCCCCGGGCAAGAAGCAGCGCCTGAGCAAGAAGCTGCGGAGGAAGTTACAGATGTGGCTGTGGTCGCAGACCTTCTGCCCGGTGCTGTACGCGTGGAACGACCTGGGCAGCCGCTTTTGGCCGCGCTACGTGAAGGTGGGCAGTTGCTTCAGCAAGCGCTCGTGCTCGGTGCCCGAAGGCATGGTATGCAAGCCGTCTAAGTCCGTGCACCTCACGGTGCTGCGCTGGCGCTGTCAGCGGCGCGGGGGCCAGCGCTGCGGCTGGATTCCCATCCAGTACCCGATCATTTCAGAGTGCAAGTGCTCATGCTAGAACTCGGGGACCCCGCGCCCGGACACTTGATCTATTCAATGAACTTTTTTTTTTTTTTTTTTTGGCTACAGAGACTTAGCTTTCTGGTTCATGTAATGCACTGTTTAACTGTGTAGGAATGTATATGTGTGTGTATATATGGTCCCAGTTTTAATTTACTTATTAAAAGGTCAGTATTATACGTTAAAATTTACCGGCTTCTACTGTATTTTTAAAAAAAAATAAGCAAAAGAAAAAAAACAGAGAAGAGAGACTTATTCTGGTTGTTGCTAATAATGTTAACCTGCTATTTATATTCCAGTGCCCTTCGCATGGCGAAGCAGGGGGGAAAAGTTATTTTTTCTTAAACTACAAAGAGCGGGGAGAACTTTTGTAGAAGGACTTTTTAAAAGCTATTTTCCATTCTTCGGAAAGTGTTTTTGGTTTTCCTTGGACCTCGAAGAAGCTATAGAGTTCAATGTTATTTTACAGTTATTGTAAATATAGAGAACAAATGGAATGACTAATCATTGTAAATTAAGAGTATCTGCTATTTATTCTTTATAATATCCCGTGTAGTAAATGAGAAAGAAGTGCAGAGCAGGATTAAAGAAAACCACTAAAATCGACTGCGCTGGACACTGCGATTCTCTGTGTTGGTGATTGATGGGGGGGGGGCTTGTTGGGGGGGCAGGAGGAGGCGGGTAGGGGGTGCCGCTGTGCTTACTACTCCTTCGGGAGAAGGGGTTCATCACTCCTGGTGTGAAGGAGGTGAGTGCTCAGTTTTTCAGGGAGGGGGGCTTATTCTCAAGCCCCTCACTTGAGCATCACGTGGCCTTTGCCCAGTCTCCCAGCTTTTTCTCCCTATGTCACCAAAGCTAGGGCACCGTCGTGACCTCGACACCCAGCCAGCCCCCTGGAGCTGACCCCAGGCTGGACCGAGGGGCGGTGGGGGGGAGGGTGGGCGGCCGCTTTGTCCTGCCTGACAGGCCCTTCACAATGGGGACACGTGTCTTTCACACCTACCCTGGGGGCGGAGTGCCTCTGAAACTTGACCCCCGAGGAATGGGGGGGGGAGATCAGAGAGCGCCCACCCAGATCCCGCTACCCCTCCCGCTTCGCCGCCCCCCCACACACACACACCTCAATATCCAGCCCTTGTTAACCCTTTGCACTACCAGATGCTTCTGTGGTGTGAATTTCAAGTGGTCCCTCCCTATCAACTCGCAGCCTCCAAGATCTTGCAGGTCTGAGCCCCGGAAATCTGACCCTCAGCCTTAATTGCTAGAGTTAGTTGGAAGATTTGACACTCACCATGCACCTAACCCAGGAACTAAGGAGACCCCAGAAGGTCTGGGTTTTAGAGGGATTAGAATTTGGGTGAAAAGAGCCACCACTGGGATCGGGTGCGCCACCCCCCCCACCCCCACCCCACCCCGGGGCTCAACACACCTACTTCACTTGGGGGTGGAGAAGAACTCAAATCTCCATCCTTGAGTTTTAGAGTTAGATAGGGGCAAAAGACGCGTCACCCCTTAAAGAGACATGCAAAACATCACCCCCACCCCACCCCTAAAAAGCCAAGGTTTGGGGGCGGGCACTTGACTAGCGCGCGTTCCTCCGCCTCAGTGCGGTGGCGACCATCCGCACAGCTCCACGTGGGCCCGCTTCCTGACACTGCTCTGCGCTCCCTTTATTTATCTTGGACTCCAAAGTGGCTCCTTTGCTCCCTCCACCACCACCACCCCCTCACGCCTTTCTCCGGGCGCACCCCCCAGCCCCCAGTCCGGAGTCCTGAAGAATCTATGCTAATTATTTCCAACCTGCGCCGGGTCCCCAGCGCGGTCTCAATGCCCCCGGCCCCGCCCGCCCTGTCCCTCCAGCCGGGCGCTTTCTTCCTTCCCGACGCAGCCTCCGCGGCTCCTCATTTCAATAGCTTGGCCCGGGAGCCGGAGCCCCCTCCCCGGCTCTGCCTCCGTCCGCCGTGGGACAGACGTTAGGGTATTCATTAACTGAGAGCCGAGGAATAACGGCATTATTCCCCCCAGAGAGGGCACCCTGCCCCCGCGACTATCTGAGGCTTCATTGTAAAAGGATTAAAAGTTAAAGACCTCCATCTTATGATTCTTTCATTTAATCTTCCTGGCGCCTGGGAGACATGCTCGATGGATGATGGCTTTTAAAATATTCCTAATGTCGGCTACCTTAAGACTCCACGCCGGGCAAACAAACGTAATTTATTTCCAGAAGAAAGGGGATATTGAGATGTTTAAGTCTATGAACCGCCGTCCCCATGTATATTTGTTAAGTTCTGACAAATACCCAAATAACGTTAAAATCAGCCATTCATCACTTATGAATTTATGCAAAACTTTCTGTGCCCCGGGCCAATATTTTTTTAGACAGAGTTTCACTTGCGAGGG